TGTTTGTTTGTTTTTGTTTTGTTATTAATTTAGTTTATTTTTCATTTCAATGAACATCTACAGAGATTTTGGAATTCCATTCATTCATTGTTGCACCCTTCTCCCCGCACAAATCCCTCCCCCCCCCCCTTTCGCCCCCCCCCGAAAAGACAAAGAAAAAAACCTCATTGGTACACAATCCCATGAGCAACATGTCACTCTCTATGAAATAGCCCCTGCTAGCAACATGTCCAAACTATGTTTGGCAAAGTATTACCAGCTTTGCCTCTAAAGAGCATTCTGGCTGCACCCTCTTCAAAATATATTTGTTTGTTCTTTTGGTAGTCCATGGGATATTCACTATTCGTTTTTAACATACCAACTCAAAGGCAGCAATTCTTTTTTAGTCACCCCTATTCATTGTCCAGCTCTCAGGTGCATAGCAAAGAATAGAAAAGACCACGGCCTGAATCAGAAATATTTTAGTCGCCAAACTGACATCAATACTGCTCAATAATTTGGAGAAGTGCTAATATGACTGCAGTTATTCTCAGTACATCTTCTGATTTCCTGACTGCTGATGCCAAGGTTGTTGATTGTGGATCCAAGTGCAACATCCTCTCATTTACTGACTGCTGGTGCCAAGTTGCTGCTTGTGGATCAGAGCAAAATGAAGTTATTGACAGTTTCAATTTCTATCTATCATAATGTTGTCTATTAGTCCAGCAGTGAGGATTTTCATTTTATTGACATTGAGATGTTACCCATTTGAAGGCTGTATTCCTCCTCACTTTTAGCAAGCATGTGTCTTCTGCATAAAACAGGTTATTGAGAAGTATTTCTCTGATCTTAATGCTACATCCTTTTTTATATATTCTATTGTTATTGTTGTTGATTGCCTTCGAGTTGAACAGGACTCATAGCGGTCCTATGAGCAAAAATGCCTGAAGCCTTTCTATAACTATCATTTATAGAAGTTCATAGTTTCAAGAGGCATGTTGTTTAGGAAGTGGATGCCTTTCCTGCTTCCAACCATAGATTCTAGTTTCTCAAATAATTTGCTCAGCATACATATTGAATAGTTATGGAGAGAGAATAAAACCTTGATACATTCTCTTTTTAGTTTTAAACCGTGCAGTGTTTCCTTACTCTGTTGAACAACAGCCTCTTGATGTAGGTATATGTTTTGCATGAGCACAATAAAGTGCTTTGGGATTCCTGTAGTTCTCAATGCCAGCAATAACATGTTATGATCCACACAGTCAAATGCCTTTCCATAGTGAATAAACCACAAACAGGCATTCATCTGGTATTCTTTACTTTCAACCAGAATTCGTTTGACAACATCAATGATATCCTCCTTTTGACAACAGCAATGATATCCTTGGTGCCACATCCTCTTCTAAATCCTGCTTGAACTTCTGGTAGTTCTCTACCTATATACTGTTCTGGCAAATTTTGAATTATTTTCAGCAGTATTTTGCTTGCGTGTGATAGTTTCCACATTCTGTTGGATCCCCTTTTTTGAGAATAAGAAAAGATATAGACCTCTTCCAATCCATGGGACAAATAGCTGTCCTTCAGATTTCCTAGCATACACTGGTGAATGCATTTGGGTCTGTATCTTTTAATCAAAACAAGTAGATTGGTATCCCATTGTTTCCCGGGGCCTGGTTTGTTTGTTTTGTGTGTGTGTGTGGGTGTTTTGGGGTTTTTTTTTAGTTCCTTCAATGTAGCTTTTACTTCCTCCTTCATTACCATTGGCTCCTAATTATAGGATACTTCCTGAAATTTTTTAATGTCAGTCTGTTCTTTTTGGTAAAGTGACTGTGTGTATTCTTTCCATCTTCTTTTGATGTTTCCTGGGTTATTTAATATATTGTCCATAGTATCTTTAAATATTTCAACTTGAGGCTTAAATTTGTTTTCCCGTCCTCGCAGCTTGAGAAATGCATAGTGCATCCATGCCTTTTTATTCTCCAATGTCAGCTCTCTGCACATTTCACGATAATACTTTGTTTTGTCTTCTTGACTTGCCCTTAGAAATCTTCTGGTCAACTCTTTTACTTCAGCATTATTTTCTTTGGTTTGGCTTCTCAACGCTCTAGTGTAATTTTCAGAGTCTCATCAGACATTCTGATTCTTCTCAATTTTCTTTTATGTACATATGAAGCAATAGAAAATAGCATTCCTTGGATCAGAAATATCTTTCTCAAAGGCATGTCTTAGATTCTGATTATTTATAAGTTCTTTGAAGTACATTTGCCCAATGCAGGATGTCATTGACTGCTGGGTATTAATTGTGAAATTCTTGATAATATTTTCTCTGTTTGTTATGATGTACTTATTGGTCCAATTTTGAAGGCTTTTTCTTTATGTTGTATGTAACCTATACTGATGACTGTCATCACTGGCATTGATTATTCCAAATGCTTCATGTCTTCCTGGCTTGCAGCAAACAAGTTATATTTTCTGCATACTTTTAATGTGTTTTTTTCTAGTTTTGGTTGGAGGAATACATTCAACATATCTGATAATTGTTATGTTAATATACATAATTCAAAAGCAACATCACTGCTTTTTAAGTTGATATAGAATCGTGATAACCACTCAGCAAATTTCTGAGTCCATAATGTTAAGGAGAGAAGAATGCTTATTTTTTTTCCCTGCAGAGTACCTAATGGATTCAATCTACTGTCCTTTCATTCAGCAGAAAAATACATAAAGTTCTACATCATAAGGGCTTCTTTGTTATAACAAAGAATTATAATTCATGACACTGTTGTTGTTGTGAAGTGCCATTGAGTCATAGATGACTCATAGCAACCCTAAGAATGGAAGCCCTGAACAATTGTGTAACTTTCATTATTTCTCAAAGTTCATAGAGTTTCTGGAGGCAAGCTATTTAGGAAGTGGATGCCACTCCTTCTTCCAAGCTTGTTTTAATCGAGGCACTTCACTAAACACTGTCCATCACGGGTAACCATTATTGCATTTGATACATCAGTGTCATAGTGTTCAGCATCACAACAACCATGAGTTACTGCTGTACAGCAAATGGACAGACCAGTGCTATACCACTTAGAAGAATGTTTGACCAACAACAATTAAAACCAGGCCCGAGGGCCACAGATTAAAATCACCCACCTTTGACTTGGTAGCATAACTTTCTATCCATCAGGCCCACAGAGCTCTCTCTCTATGCTGGTAGTGTTGTTGTTAAGTGCCATCAAGTCATAGATCACTCACAGCAACCCTATGAACAAAAGACCTGAACAATTGTATAATTTTCATAATTTCTCCAAGTACATAGAGTTTCTGGAGGCAAGCTATTTTGGAAGTGGATGCCACTCCTGCTTCTAAGCTTGTTTTAATCGGGAAGCTCCACCAAACACTGTCCACCATGGGTGACCATTCTAAATCCCTTCTATTCTTACTGACACACAATTTTCCCCTGATGGTCAACTGCAACTTTCCCCCCTTATAGCAGTACCATCAGAGTCACAGTGTTCAGCATCACAGCAACTGTGAGTTACCTCTGTACAGCAAATAGACAGACTAGTGCTATACCACTAAGAAGAATGTTAACCAAAAACAATTAAAACCATGTCTGAGAGCCACAAACCGGAAGGCCCAAATGCCTTTTTAAATAGGGAGCGAATACAAACAATTCATTCTTGATGACTGATAAACACTGGACTTATCTCTCATCTAAAAACAAGACCAAACCTCTATAGAGTCAGGGTACTCCTAACCACTGCCCCACCTGGAAGCCAGCACATTATGGTTTTTCTCTTGACAGAGGAAAAAAAAAGAGATCTATGACACCTTATCTTAGATTTAAAAATGATTGGTCTTTTCCCTTCATCTCATGTTCACTATCCTGCTAGACCTAGCATACAGCTCTAAACATTTTTCTTACTGTTCCTTGCTTAAATGATTTTCTCTGATTTGGCTAAATTTAGATTTTTCTAGGGAGTGACAAATTTCAAGGCATTATTTTGACTTAAAAGTATTGTCGATTAAAATACTTGGAAATAATTTATATGTAAAAGCCTCACCAGATGACTGTTTTTTTGCAGATAGGACTGTGCCTCTGGTTATACACATCTGGCCCTCTCATGTTTTTCAGTTTTAAAACACATTTACTATTCCATGATTGTTTATCTTTTGCATTTTATAAAAGCTAAAATCTGACTAAAAGGAGGCAATGCCCAGCAGGAATATTACTAATCAATTCTTTTCTAAAATTTTTTTTATATTGATTTGCTTTCAAAGTTTGTAAGAATTGCACTTTACACTATTCTTCACTCACATTGTGTTTTACACAGTCATTCCCAGGTATTATGCTTTATAAAATAAATCATTATTGGACTATGTCCATTATTCTTCTTTATGATGAAAAACACAGGCTGTATTTAAAACATGGTCTACAACTCAGCAATCTAGCTAAATATGAAAAAATTGAGAATTGAAAATAAACTGCATATACAAATATATACAAAATCATTCCTTTTTCCAAAATCTTATTTCTAAAGTAATTATTGAATGGACGTTAAGATATATAGCATTGAAAATCACATGTAATTGTGACTTCTAGTTAAATATTTTATGAACATGAAAATGGAGAAAACTTTTTCTTCTAAATTTTAATCATTTCAAGTTATCTTACAACAGTGCTGAAAGTCATATTAGAGTAATGATTCTGTTGAATATGTTAAAAATGTTTTATTATGAGAACATTTTCAGGATTGTTTAACTGTTAATATTTGTTAAATACTATACAATGCTTAAAATTTGTACTGGATAGAGAGAGTTAAATTTTTAGTATCCTAAAAGGTAGTGTACTTATTTTATATATTTATTCTATGAGTCCAAAGATAAATCAATTTATAATATGTTGTTGTTGTCTATATAATTTAAAAAATCATGCTATAAATTATTAGATATATGAAAACGTACCTGTTTAAATGCCAAAGCTTTGTCAATAACATTATTTTTCACTGTCCTTCTTTTTCTAGCTCCTTCTCCAGTCACCATTGTGAAAAAAGGGAAGATCGCAAAAAACAGCATTTCTTTGTCTTGGCAAGAGCCAGATAGACCAAATGGAATAATCTTGGAGTATGAAATAAAATATTTTGAGAAGGTGAGATGTGTAATGAAAAGTATTCTTACTTCATTTTTTAAAATAAATCTTAAAATTTCAGCTACCCAATTTGTAGAAATTATTGTTACTGTTGTGTGCAATCAGTTTGGAATCAACCAATAGCTAATCCTCCAATGGGTTTTCAGAAGCAATAAATCACACAGGAGGAGTTTGCTCATCTTTCTCCCATGAAGCAGCTACTGGATATAAGCCATGGACCTTCGTGTTATCTGTGCAACTTCTTGTCATTAAGCCATTAAAGCATGATGCAATTGTATGGGTAAATTAATGGTAACTGACTCTATAGTCATTACCAGAAAAAAAAATGTACAGGGGATACTTTATATATATTTTTTTCTGTTGAAGATTTAGATACTTTCTAGATACTGACAAGTGTTCCAAAAGTTACCTACATAGGTTTTAGTCATTAAAAGATACATTTATAGGGCAATTTTCAAATGTTGCAAACACTTAATCTATTCACCTTTAATAGTTACCCAGTGTTCTATAAGAAGAATAATGTTTGACAGTAACTGTATATCAAGATTTTATCCTTATTCCATACCTGTTCAGTCTATATACTGAACAAGTAATTGGCTAAGCTGGCCTTTATAAAGATGAGTGTGGTAGCAGGATTGAAGGAAGACTCATCAACAACCTGCGTTATGATGATGACACCATTTTGCTTGCTAAAAATTGGAAGGATTTATATATATATATGATCAATGACTACAGCCTTTGTTATGAATTACATCTCAACATCAAGAAGATAAAAATCCTCAGCACAGGATTAGCAGTCTACATAATGATAGACAGTAAAAAAGTTAATGCTCTTAACTATTGAATTTAACTTGGATCAAAAATCAACACTTGTGATGTCAGAAATCAGGAAATTAAGAGAAAATGCATTGGGAAAGTCTGCTGTCAGGAACTATTCAAAATACTGAAGAGCAATGATGTCAGTTTGAGAACCAATTTATGCTTGATTGAAGTCATGTTCTTCTCAATTACCTGCTATGCATCTGAGAGCTGGATAGTAAATAAGGATTACAGGAGAAGAATCGATGCCTATGAGTTTTGGAGCTGAAGAAGAGTACTGAATAACCATCCCATTAACTGTCGAAAGAACCAACAGATTTGTCCTGGAAAGAGTGTTTCTTGGAGGCAAACATACAAAAGCTTTGCATTTCATACTTTGGACGTGTAGCTAGGAAACATACCCTCAACAACATGAACTGACACTATAACATCAACAATGTTGTTTTAATGTCTCAGAATGGAGAATACGACACCAGATAAGGGAAGTTTCAAGTGGATTCATAGGGTAGCTCGGAGCTGTATTCAACTTAATGGCACCTAACAATAACATAAATAATGCATAAACTTTATTTTAAGTGTAAGAGTCCAATACCCGAACTATAAGTTCAGTATCACCAAATTTGTCTGGTTTTCTTATCTCCCTTAAGTTGTTTAATATGTCATCTTTACATAATTTGTCATTAGAATATCTGTGGCCTAAAGAAAGTTGTCATTCATGCTCATTTGTGAACTTACCATAAAGTTAGTTTTTGAGAGAAGAATTACATGTTTAAAATGTTCATAAAGATAAAGGAAAGGGGAAAGACCTGGTATAAAAAACAATATATATAAACTCTGTAAATAAGCCAGTAGTAAAACAAAACAAAACAAAATAAAACACTAAAATACTAGAAATAAAAAAAAATGAGACATGAAGGCACAGGGCTTTGAGCGTCTTTTGGAAAAGGCCAGAGAGAGAGAGAGAATAACATAACTGCTCACCACCCCAAAGCAAAATGCAGATAAAGATATCGTAGCCCTGTTCTGTAGTGACTCTATAGCCACACCAGCAGCAAGATGTTTATTTATTTGTTGTTGACTCACAGACTCACAGTTATGGTACTAGAATGGGATTTATCAGGGAAATAAGTTGGACAATTACTTTGCGAACTGATTGGAAAAGATCCATATTTATTCCTATACCCCAAAAAAAGGTGTTCTGACAAAGTATGGTAATTATCAAACAGTATAACTAATATCACATACAAGCAAAATCCTGCTGAAGATTATCCAAATACCACCGAAAGAGTACATTAATGATAACTACTAGAAATACAAGCAGGAATTAGAAAAGAACGTGGCCCTAGAGACATTATCACAGATTTCAGAAGGATAATCTTGGCAGAAAGCAAAGAGTACCAGAAGAATGTTGATCTGTGTTTCATAGATTATATAAAGGTATTTGACTCTGTGGATCACAACAAAACATGGATAACTTTGCGGAGAATGGGAATTCTAGAACACTTGATTGTGCTTGTGCAAAATAAATACTTGGGCCACAGGTAGTCATCAGAACAGAGCGAGGAAACACTGCATGGTTCAAAATTAGGAAAGGATGTTTCAGGATGCATCCTGTCTCCATATCTTTTCAATCTATATGCAGAACAGATCATGCAACTAGCTGAAGTTAATGAGAAAGAGTGTGGTGTCAGAATTGGAAGAAGACTTGTCAAAACCTGTGATATATAGGTGAAACAACCTTGCATGCTGAAACTGAGAAGGACAAGAAGCATTTGCTGCAGAAAGTGAAGCAGTGTAGTCTTCAATATGGATTGAAGCTAAACACCAAGAAGACAACAATTATCACCACTATGTCAATTGACAATATCATGATGCATGGAAAAGAGATTGAGATTGTTAACAATTTCTGCTTGCTCGGCTCCACCATCAACACTCTTGACACCAGCAGTCAGGAAATCAAAATATGAATTGCATTGGGGAAGTGAGCCATCAAGACCTCTTTAGATTACTGAGAAGCAATGATGCCAGTCTAGAGACTAAATGAGCCTGATTCAGGCCATGGTCTTTGTGACCACATGCTATATGCATCAGAGAGCTGAATGATGTGTAAGGATGACAGAGGAATTTACGCCTTTGAGTTCTGGTGCTGGAGAAGACTCTTGAACATACCATGGACCACTAGGAGAAAACAAATGTGTCCGTTGTTGAGAGGTTGAAACCAAGTTTCTCCTTGGAGGTAAAGATTTTGAAGCTCTATCTTACATACTTTGGGCACATGGCCAGGAGGGACCAGTCCTTGGATAAACACATCATGCTCAAAAGGGTAGAGAGGTACCACAGGAAATGAAGAGCCAGATGAGATGGGTTGACACAATGTTGGGATTAAGTGTGTCAGACCCACTGAGACTGCCTCTGAATAGGAGAGGGCTCAGAACTATTGTTCATAGACTTGCTGTGAGTTGCAGGCTACTCAATGGCACATAACAACAACTTTTATTTTCTTTCTGTATTTTAATATCTTACTCTAATGTTTATAAATTTTTGTCATGGATGGCTAAATAATGAGTCAAGATTTATTTCTAATTATTTCTACAAAGAAATAATTCTTTTTCTAGGAATGATGTATAGATAGCATTACATGAAGCTATCTGACCATGATAAAGCATTATGTAAAGATGCTATTTTTATGACATTTTAGCTATCATTAGAATGATATTTTAAGATTGTCACAAAAATATATAAACTAAATTATCCAATAAAAATGTTGTTATTATTGTTAAGTGCCGTCGAGTCGTAGGAGACTCATAGCGACCCTATGATCGAAAGTCCTCAACACTTGTGTGACTTTCATCTTTTCTCTAGCTCATAGGGTTTCCGGAGGCAAGCTATTATGGAAGTGGCTACCTCTCCTGCTTCCAAGCTTGTTTTAATCAGGGAGTGTCACCAAACACTGTCCACCAAGGGTAACCATTATCACATTTGACACATCAGTGTCACAGTGTTCAGCTTCACAACAGCCACAAGTTACCTCTATACGGCAAGTAGACACACAACGGCTATATAACCGATAAGAATGTTTGAACAAAAACAATGAAAAACAGGCCTGAAGGCCGTGGATTAGAAGTCTCCCGCCTTTGGCTTGGTAGCATCACTTTCTCTCCACTCGGCCAACTGATCTCCAGGTTGTACTGTCTTTGTCTAAGAACCACTATAAACTATATACGAACACTACTCTACTTCAGATTCTCGTAGACCACTACCGCAGGGAGTAGAACACTAGTGTTCTAAGAGAACCTGAGGCAAAGTAGTGTTTGTATATAGTTCATAGTGGTTCTTAGGCAAAGACAGTACATTTAATTATGCAAAGTAAAATGACATTATTATACCTTACTGAATTTTTATTTTCTCAGGGTTGTAATCCAAAACTACATTGTAAATTACAGAGGTCTACAATTAAATTTTTTATGTTGTTGTTATTGTTATATGCCCTTGAGTCACTTGAAATTCATAGTGCCTTATGGGCAACTGCTCTGAACTCTGCTGTATTTGAGTTAATTGTTTTTGACTAGCCTTTCCCCATTAATCCAATGACTGACTGATAATCCATCTCATGAAGGGCCTTCTCTTGCACTGCCCTCCACCCTTCCAAGCATGATTTCCTTCTCCAAGGTTTGGTCCCTCCTGGGGATATACTATATACTGATATACTCCACAGAATATCAAACAGAGCTTCAAACCCTTCCCTTCAAGCAGCAAACTGATTCTACCCTCTCTAGGACATACCTGTTCACTTAGCAATCCATGGCATGCTGAATTGTCTTCTCAAACACCACAGCTCAAGGACATCAATTCTTCTTCAGTCAGCTTTTGTCATTGTCCAGCTCTTTGATGAACAGCAAGTAACTGTGAAGACCATGGTTTGGATCAGGTGCACCTCAGTCTCTAGATTTACATCGTTGCTCTGCAGTACTCTGGAGAGGTCCCCAAAAACATATTTTCCCAATAATATTTGTCTTTTGATTTCCTGGCTGCTGGTACCGGGAGTGCTGATTGTGGAACCAACCAAGCTGGAGCTGTTAACAATCTCAATCTCTTTTCCATCTATCATAATGCTACAAGTTAACATGGATGAGAATTTTGTATTCTTAATGTTGAATTTCAATTCATATTGAAAGCTGAAG